CCCTCTACCTGGAGTCTCTCCACAAGCTTTTCTCATCACAAGAGTGATGCATGTCAGCTCAAGAATCACCTCCCTGGGGCCTCCTCAGATCCCCATCTAAAGAGGCTCCCCTAACTCCCTCCATCACCTGTTTATTTCCTTGTGTGAGTCACGCAGTCTGCTTCTTGTGCCTTTACTCTGTTACCATCTGTCCTCCTTTAGAAAGTGAGCTACATGAGGCCAGGGACCAAGCCTGCCTCAGTCTGTGCCATGTGCATGCACCCAGCCAGGGCAGGAAGCCAACAGCTGTGGGGGAGGAGTCAGGCAAGCAGCACCCACCCACCCCTCCAAGGATGACAGCCCCTCGGAGTGGGGGCTCATTGGCTGGGGCCAGCCCACTAACCACTCCGTGGGCACTGTTTTCAGATCCAGGATGCCAGGAACCACGTGAGCCAAGCCATTTACCTCCTCAACAACCGGGATGAGAGCTACCAGTTCAGGACAGGAGCAGAGGTCCTTAAGGTGAGTTGCCTGCAGGGACAGGGGAGCCAGGTTTCCCACACCCACCCTGACCCCTGACCAGGTTCCTGGAGAACTCTGCCCCCATGTCCTCAAGTATAGCTGACAGCTAACCCTTCACCTCTCAGTGTACACATGTCCATCCAGTCATAGTCAAATAGCTCATAGCCCAAGCTTCAGAATCGGACCTGGGTTCTGCTCCTAGGGCTTCCACTATTAGCTGTACAACCTCAAGTCACTTAATTAGCCACTCTGTGCCTCCATATCCTCCCCTGCAAAAGGGGGATAAGATATAGTGACTACCAATTGTTATAGTGCAGGTAAATGGCCCCTAGTAAGTGCTCAGTAAATAGTAGCTGCTAGTAGTAGTACCAGCAATAAGAAAAAACCCTGGCAATGCACAAAGTCAATTCACAAAGCATGGAGGGGAGAACTGAGTCTGGATGCCCTGGACCAGTCCCCAGGTGGTTCACCTACCCTCTCTGGACCTCTGATTCTTCATATGGAACTTGGAACTAGATGGACTAAGGTCCCTCCCAGAACTGTGACTGCCCCGGGGGCGGGGGGATATAAGCTGCAACCCCATGCCTCCTCCCAGTAGTTTTGCCTTTCCTGGGAGCCAGGTCACCCTAGCAACAGCTGGAAACAGTGGAAGCTGGGGCTCTGAGGAGTCCAAGTAAGGGCACTGCTCTGTGGTAAAGGAAAGGAATTAGTTCTAGATGGTTCCACAGTTCATGAGCTCTGTGACTTTATCTCTTCAGAGCCTCTGTTTCTTCACCTGTGAAATGGGGTTGATGTCTGACTTAAGGCATCAACTCAACTGCCCCATTGTTTCTTCCAGGAAGCCCTCCCTTGCCCCTTGCGCCCTAGCCAGATTTGGGCCCCTTGTAAGCTCCTTCATTGCCTGTACCCCCATCCACCAAGCCCTCATGCCCCTGAGACTAACTCCTGGCATCTCATTCCCCATTGGACCAGTCCACAGGATCCCATTCAGTAGAACCTCCTGGATGGGTGGTACATAGTACAGACAGACTACCCTCCTCCCCCTACGCCCCCAGGCCCCAATTACCTGCATTTTTAACAAGCCCCCACTTTAGG